AGGGTGACTTGCAGGAGCTCAGCATGGCTGCGCTCCAGGGGCAGAGCTGGCAGGACACAGCTGGGTGCGCGGGGCTGCTGCTGGCCATGGAAGGGAGGCACCTGTGCAAATAAATGGTGTGCCTGAGAGCCGACAGCAGCTCATAGATCCAGGGTATCCAGAGGCTCCGTTCTGCCTCCTGGGGTGCCGGAGCAGGATCCCTGGCTCTGCTCCCTCCACCCGGCCTAAGCCTCTGAGCCTCCCTGTTCTAGCACCTCCTTCCCAGTCGAGCTGCAAGGCTCCTGGCTGACAAACATGGGCCCCGCTCCAAAACACTGGGAGCACCAGGAGAGGCCCCGGGGACCATACGGGGCCAGGGAGCCTGCGGCAGCCCACTAGTCCCCCCACAGTTGTGCCGCAGCGCCCCAAAGGAAGCATTCGAGGGGCCACCCCTGGCTCTGGATCCTGACGGTGAGCGATGAGCTGTTGGCACGGCTGGTGAGTGGATAAAAGGCAGATGTGCTGGGCGGAAGCAGCCGGCTGCCTGGGCCTGCACCTCTTCACGCAGCACCGTCCGAGACTCGAGGGGCCCCATTCTCCAGTATAGGGATCCCAGGCAGCCGCCCTGCTTCCCCACAGTTGGGGCATAGCAGAGCTAAGACCCCCTGCAGTGGGGAATGACCCTTGCGGCAGCTTCCCTGGGGCCCCTAGGAGAGCCTTTTACCTACTTCAGAGCTCCCACGAATACAGGGGTAAGTACAGGGACCTGCCTGCACTGTCAGACCTCCAACTTCACCTTCCCTGCAGGCAAAACCACGGAAGCCAGGGACGGGACACCCAGGCACCCTGTCCCCACATGCCCCTGGGAGCTCCGCTCAATCCCCCTGTCCCAGTGCTCAGGAAAACACCTTATTGCATCCTCCCTTCTCAGCCAGCATCTCCCCTCTCCTCCCCTTCATCTCCTGCACGGCCTTTATTTGGGGATTATTAACCATGGCTACGGGGGCCTTTGTTTGGGAGCGGAGCCGCAGGCGAGGGGCTGGGCTGGCGGAGGAAGGAAGGACGTGAGCGGAAGAGGGGAAGGAAGGTAACATCTGGATTTCTGTGCTGTACAAGCACGATCTGCCAGGGCAGCTGCTGGCGGGGCTCAGCAGATGCAGACTGGTGAAAAAGTCCCAAAAGAGAGTTGAAGTTGTCGACAGAGAGACCACGTGGGTTACTCAGCCTGGTGCCATGCAAAATGCCACCCCCAGCATCCACCCTACAGCTGAGCGCAGCAGGCAGAAAAAGGAAGTCCTGGATCTCCAGCTGCACCCAAGGGCTGGTAGGCACCCTGCAAGTGTCAGGATTTGGGCCAGGTTCTGCCGCAAGCTGCCTAAGGATGGAGCGGGAGCCTGGGCCGCCTTCCCTGGCCCTCGCTATGCTCAGGATGGATGGACAAGGACAGCTGTAGGAGCATTCCTGGGGGAAACCTTAGCCAGAGGATGGACACGGCCAAGGCATGGGGGAAGGAGCCCCCCTGCCCAGGGCTGTCCGTGTCCCTCGGTGTCCCCAGATCATGGCCTCCCCACGCCTCAGAGCAGGTGCAGCCCTGCGGCAGCGTGTGAATGGCCACGTACTGCACACTCGCTTGCACACACTTACATACCGGCCAGGCCGGGCACGGATGAGTTGCGGCTCCACTGCCTCCACTCCCAGCCCCTAATCCCCTGTTCTTTGGGCGTGAGGCCGTGGGACCAGCAGTGGTGAAGGACAAGGGGGCCGACAGAGCGGCGGGGGAAGCCAGGAGCCCAGGGACAGCTATTTATAGCCCGTCCTTTTCCTTCGGAAGACTTGTGAGTTCATCTCCCGCCTCACGCCGTCCGGAAAAAGGCTCCATTGTCCTGCTGCCAGATGGGCCGGGACCGGGCACTCGCCGGCACAATAGGGTGGATTATGTGCCCGGCCGGCAGGAGGTCCAGCAGCGGGATGCCCGGGAGCGGCAGCTGCCTCCAGCAGCCCCGGCACCCGTGCGCAATCCCAGAGCTGAGGCCAGGGAGGCAGGAGGGCTGATTCGTAGCCCTGTGCTGCTAATCCCCCAGCTCCCAGTTGGACACGGCACGGGCCAGCTCTGGCAGCGAGATGAATATCCCGTTGCCTGTGCCCCAAGATAGGGATCCCCGCTCACTGCTGCTGTCCTCTCTTCCCCATGCCACAGGGCTGCCCATCCTAGAGGGATTGAGGGTTTTGGCTCTCCCCTGTCTGTCTCTATCCTATGCTTCATGTCATCTGGCTTCCCCAGCTTGCTGCGCTGTGAGAAGCGGGGGGAAAACCCTCAGTGGGGGCTGAGAGTGCTCGCCACGGTTGCTTGCATGCCAGTGGCCCCCAGGACAGCTCACCAAGGGAAACTGCAAGGAAGCTCAGGGAGAAATGAGCCCCAGGCAGGGTGACACGCCAGCCTAGCAGAGCCCTGGGGAGCGGAGGGGCCGGCCGGGCCGAGCAGGGATTTCTCTGTGCAGGACTTTCCCATGGAAGAGAACTTGCATTTCCCAGGGCCGTCTGGCTGGACTCCAGGAGGAGACACGCATCCCAGCTCCTTGCGCCAGGAGCCCCACATCCCTCCCACATCAAGGTGGGCAGCTCGGGCTTGGGCTTTGCCACAAGCTCACAGGCAAGGAGGGCAAGAAAGGGATGGCTTCCTGGAGGTGACCAAGCTGTCTTCCTGCTCCTGAGATATCCTGCAGGCTCTGCCTCCAGGAGAGGCCCACGGGCAGTGCTCGGCCACGGGACGCGGGGCAGGGCACGAGCGGGAGCATGCGAGTGAGTGAGCGTGATCACCTGCATCTTCGGAACACACTGAAGGCCAGAGGAAGAACCTTGCTGCCTTGGAGCTGGGCCAGGTGAGTGGGGATGGGGATTTTCCTGGAGCGGATATGCCAGAATGACCTATAGTTCATGCCTGGCCCCAAAGTGCAGGGGCTGCCTACATCCGCGTTCGTGCTGAGGCATCTGCCCGGCCATCAGCGAGGTGTTTTGCGGGGACCTTGACAGCAAACCTCAGGAGGACAGTGCCGACCGGCTTCCCTCATGGCGCCAGGGTGGCTGCACTGCATGCAGAACTCGCCGTGGGCACGTGAGGGGCATTGGCGGGGATGGTGCTGGCTGCCAAAAATGGCGGTGAGTGGGCTGGGAGCGATGGCGCAGGGCCAGTAAGACCCACAGCCCAGAAACGCCCTTCCTGCCACAAGGGTAGCGCCAGGACAGGACGTGCCAGCATGGAAAGCTGGGCCCAGGGGGAATGGGAGGAGAATGCCGGTTCGCCTAGGGCCAGCGTGTCCCCAGCATGGCTGCGGTCCCTATGCTATTAGCACCAGGGCCCCAAATAAGCCTGCAGGGCACTGCCCGGCCAACGCAGCTGCCCCTGGCACAGCTGGGAGCGCGACGGCCCCATGCCTGGAGCTCCAGCAAGCTCGGAGACAGCTGCCCGGGACCCTCCTCGCCACCGCAGGCGCCTGTGTCACCCAGGCAGGGACCTCTGCCCTGTAGGGCCCTGGCGGAGGCTTTTCCCTCCCCGTAACCCCTGCCTCGAAGGTGCTTTGGCAGCACCGAGCCCTGGGCTCTCTCCAGCAGGTCTGCTCTCTGCAAGGCCCAGTGCAAGCCCAGATGAGCTGAGACAGTCCTCAGTGTCCTGGACTTCATCAGAGTCGCAGAAAAGCCAAGAGTCTGCAGGGCAATAAGAGACCACAGTGCTCACACTGTGCCACTGCGGCCGGACACTGCATTCACCTTGCAAGGACACTGCCCCGGCCCCGGGGAACACTGCACTGACCCTGCAAGGAGAGCACAGGTCTGCAGCCGAACCAGACCCTGCTCCAGGGAGAGACTGGGGAGAGCAAAGGAGAAGTCCTGCCACAGAGGTGCAATGTGCGCTCCCTGTTTCTGCCTCTGCGCACAGGGAGGCTGCAGGGAACCAGCTCCACAGCACCGGGAAGATGATGGCAGCACCGCAGGGGCGCTGGGAGGGGGGATGCAGGCCCCTGTGCAGCCCCTCCCTGTGGCCGTGGGGAAAGAATGAATGGAGCAAACACAACCTCTATGCCCTGCCCTTTTCTCTCCTTCTTTCCTTATTTTTTTTTTTAGTAATAAGAAATCCAAACATTACCATAAATGCTCAAAGCATCTGGACCCTGTCACGTGGGTACGGGCACACGCGCGGGGCCGGAGAGGGAGCAGAGGGGAAGGGGCTGGAGGGGAGCAGCAGGACGGACGGACGGCAGGCAGGGAGATGGGCGCGCATGCAGGCGGGCACCCACACGCACGGTGGGATCCTGCAGCCCAGCCCCCAGGGCTCCTCCCTTGCAGCCAGTGTGGCGCTTTGCTCCCTGGTGACTGGCTCCCAAGGCTGTGGATATCTTTCCCATGGATCATCCTCTGCACTCACTCTCCCCTTCCTTAAAAAGCCTGAGCTGCAGGGCAGGATGTGCCTGGGCTTGTCATCACCGTCAGGGTGTCGGGGCTGGACTGCTTCCCAGGGCACAGGGGAGGAGAGATGTGTGGACAGCCCAGCGCCAGCCCCAGCACCATCCACAAGGGCATGAGCTTTTTGAGGATGTTGTGTTCGGAAGTGGGGGCTGCAGAGCAAACAGTGCCCCTTACCTTCACCTAGGGTCAGGTCATATCCCAGTACTGAGCGGTGCCGCCCTGGCCCGATCCTGATCTGCACCTGCTCCTGGTGCCAGGAAACACCTGGGAACACAGGGGCTGCATCTGGCCAATCCCTGTCCCAGATGGCCGCAACGCCAAGGGTCCACATCCCCGCGCACAGCGCCCGGGCTGAGACCGCCGCACACTCACCACACATGTGGCGCCTAGCGCTGCGCCGGCCCCTTTAAATCTCACCCGCCGCCGCCGCGGCCACGCCCCCGCATCGTCCGAACCTCCCAATGGGAGGCGGGAAGAAGCGCCCGGCGCCGCTGATTGGCCGGCGGCGCGCCGCGGCCCGCGGGAAGATGG